TTCATGGTCCTCATGGTGTTTTTAGATTTATTGTGTCTAATGATTTGAAAAACAGTTCAAACCACAGCAGAAATGAGCCGGTGGGTAATGCTGATCCTTCACATGGCTGATATTGAACCTAAATCTTCCAGGTTGATCATTCTTCCCCACAGATATTGAGCTCCTTTTAATATTGTTAAATGTTCAAACAATTTTAAGGAATGCAGTTCTTACATTTAGTCACACTGGTGCAGTCTAATTCAGTCCTACAATTAGTGCCTAACCAGCCAGCATTTAGTAGGTTTATTTCCTGCACACAAAGACGTCACAGAAACACTGTGGTTTCCCTGTGTACAGGGAGGCAGCAGGTGTGTCAGATGCACTTATCTAAGACAGCAGGCTTTTGCACCTGTGACTATCAACATTGAGTCACTCTTCAGTGATCCATGATCTACATTGACCTACTTACATAAGCCTGCCCTCATCTCAAGCCTGGTGACAGTAACCATGTCATTTTTGCTTCTGTTGACTTTTCTCTATCCTTGGTTTCTGAGGGTATGTATTCATTCCTGGATGATTGTTTGCCACCAATCAAAAGGTTGAGACGTGGGTCCAGATGTTGGTTCCTGCAGCATTCTGCACTGGATAAACACAGGAAGCAATGGCAAGACATCACAGAGTCTTTGACTTTTACTAATCGATGAGTGTTATAGTTATCTCAATGTGACATCAGGCTTGTGGCTAAGACAGCCAGTTAACTTCTGCACATGCTTTTGCACCAGTATCACCATTGCAGTTTGTTAGCACCCATTAAGATCGAGATGATACCCTGACTTAATTTCCATCACTTCTCCATACTGATATAAAGTCGGTTAATCCAGCCAATTCACATGCATGCAACATAAATTAGGGCTGTCCCTATATGATATTGTTATTGGATATCAGTCCGATATCAGCCAAATAACAAATATTGGATTATATTGGCCTGCATCTAAAATCTCCGGTATCAGCAATCAGTCTACTCCAGACTTCACTCTGGCACCTCGAGCTAGCAGCACCTGGATCCAGCATGCAGAGCCCATGTGATCGCAACAACAGTGTGTACTAACGTACAAACAAAGTAGCAAGGAGAAGGAGAGATGTCGGCTGTATGGCAGTATTTTTCGTCAAAGTCCGAAAAAGACATTGCAGCTGAGTGCAAAACTTGTCATGCACAAGTTTGTGCCAATATCAGATCAATATCGGTATAGGCCGATACTGAGGGCTACAATATCGGTATCGTATCAGAACTAAAAAAGTAGTATCGGGACACCCCTAACATAAATATTTTATTCACAAACAGTAGGAAAATTCAGGTTACTCTTGTGCAGAACTACATACAATTACCACATAAAATGCAAGTACTCCTAAAGCAGATTTAACAAACCCTTTAAGCATATCTATTTCTTCCATTTGGAAACACTTAGTACAATCCATGGTTTGTCATAATTACCATGAAAGTATCCAAGGCCTGAAACACCACAGACCTCTTAATCAGTAGTATTGATTTTGGATTAAAGCTTCTACTTTTAATCCCAAAATAATGTGTGTTAAATCCTCTGCTGTCTGCCTGCTAAAGCTAAGGTGAGCAACATATTTCCCTGCTCAGCTGATTCCCTTTAGACGTACATTTTCCTGTGGTTTGCCAGCATCGAGGTGGAGGTGAAGCCTCTGCCTACTCAGCATGACTAATTGCCCATAAGTGGCCATTCCAGTGATGGAAACAAAGAGTCACAAACAGCAAACAAACAGAGTGAGTCACTCTATGCATTGTGCTGTTATACACCACAGTGACAAAGAGGAATAAATGTATTCAATTTCCATTTGATCAGGGTGAAAAGAACAGTGTTTTCCATGTTTAAAGTTTGGATTTGAGAAAAAGATTTACTGATTTTCCTTTTTTTAAAAAACAAAAATCAAATACAGAATCCCCAGGAGTGCATATGGGCTCTACTCGTGGAAGAGAGTCATGAAACCATTTCCTCCTGTTACAGCTAATAAACAAGAGCCAACTCTCTGGTGGGTTGAGTAATGAGTAAAAGCAGGAGCTGAGGAAAATAACACACATAATAAAAAACAACTGTCTTACCTCCTGGATTCACTTTACAAAAACTCGGCCTTGGCTGTTTGTACTGGATTGGGCCAGTTTTCTCAGGTGCTGTAGGATATCGACAGAGCACATGTTCATTAAAACTGATTTGCATTTAAGCACAAACAAGTTCACAGAAATGCTATGCGTGAATACAACAGGTCGTGGAAAAGTAGGCTAAAGTCTCTGGACAAAAGGAGGTCAGATATTCCTGCGTGGAAAGTTGGCCTGTAGCTGCAAAGCCTCTTCTTTTATTCATTTTCGTGTACAGTTCAAAAGTTTTTCCTTCCCTAAGTTGTTCCTTCTAGCCTCCAGTAGCCTTTCGCTAAGTCTTTTCCCTTCCAGTGTCTAGAAACCACAACATATTGACAGTCTGGTCAGTCTCCTTTCTTCCACACTATATTAGTCACACAGCACAGAAGCCTGCAACCCCTCTGCTTCCCTGTGTTTATTTCACAAATGTGCACGAGTGAGAGTAAATTTGCCAGCCATTCCACTTCCCGGTATGTCTGCCAATGGCTTCCTGCAGCCAAGTTTAGCCACAGCTGTTTACAAAAAGGGTGTTTTTGTTGCTAGCCACCCAGCTCGGTGAGATATTTCTGTTAAAAGTCTGAGATTTAGCAACACTTGTTAACACTTACCCCTGGAGAATGAGCACCTCAGTGTTTCAGAGGATTCATTTCTGCATCCGGTTTGATGACCCGAGTGTAAATCTATCAGAAATATGAGGCGATTAATTACATAGCTTCAACGTATTGATCCTTGACCACAACATTGCAAAAATTAATGGTTAAGTCAAAGCTCACTTATGCAACAGATTGATGATGCAGTAATCAATATTTATAGATTAATCGGCTAATAAATTCATATAACTTCAGCTTTTTGATATTTCAGATATATGCTCTGATGAGGCAAACATTTTAAACTAGATAAAATTTAAAAATGTACCAAAAGAAAAGAGAAACTGTGTGGACCCATGCATGCACTAAGGTATCAACTGTATTCTGGTTTTGTAGTACTGGACGTTATGTGTTAGAAACAACAGCTGGACGGTGTACATGTCACTCTCAGCTCATCCTCACCTTCTCTCTCTCACACGCACAGATAGGATCGGTTCTCTCCTCTGGTCAAACGCGTCAGCCTTCAGAGCCATTGTTTGGACCTGACTCCCTGCTGCTATGGTAACCAGAGCAGAAAGAGGATGGGAAATAAATGAGACATAGTGAAAGGGCACGACCTATACAATGTCTGTCACTCTCTCATGATATTCTGTTTAGTATTCAGGATGAATGAAGGATGGTGTATGCCTGGTAGTAATTACCAGATAAGCTGGAGTTAATTAGTACTTTTGAACTTATATTACTGCCACCACAAAGATTTGCTATCATGGATAGTCTGACTTTGTAACACACAGGTATCAAACATATAATGATAGACATAAAAAGTGTCTCTTTTTACACATTTAGCGACTTCTTTATTAGTAAATGTTAGAATTTAAAATGCTGAGCCATGTTATTCAACCATTATTTTCTCCTCATATAGGCCTACTTATGTTGTTACTCTGCAGCCTGGACACATAGGACAACAAATTTATGACATAGCGATGCAAAACATTTAATAGTGCTAATTTTCCGGCTGCACAGGATTCACAGGAAGATACCAAAACATGTCCAATCTCAGCTCTTGTGAACCTGTGCTGACCAAAAACCCTGCAGCAAAGTGAGAGCTGTTTGACTTGTAGCTTTTAATAGAGAAAGGAGGTTAGCTATCCACATCTGCATGGAAAAGCTATCAAATGCTGCAGTGATGCCAAGTTAGTTCATCAAGAAAAACCAAATTATTTAGTTAAGCTGAATTCATATAACAGATGAATCATCTATTTTTAGCTGATTGGGGAGAATGTGTGCAATTCGTGTGGATAATTGCACACTTTGAAGAGTTTGGCCCTACGTCTCTTTTCCATGTGTAGTATTCTGGTTATCTGTCTTTTTGGCATTTTATATTTGGAATTACTTTTTTTCCTGCACTGTAAAAAAGAAACACAAGCAATCAAAAATCTTGGCAAAAATTAACGGTTCATTATGAAAATTGTTGCTGTTAAAAACTTCAGAAGTATCTGGGAGGAGAGTTCTCTTTTCCCTCATTTGCAAGATGCTCATTAAATCTTTTTTTTTTTTTTTTTACAGATAACCATTAAGGGCCTGTTACCACTAATGGCTTTTTTTGTGCTGGTAGTGCCTACTCCCCTGACAAAACCAACACAGTTCAATGTTTTAAACACTCAGTTTCCAACGCCCCAAAATCACCCACAGCACCAATTTAAGTCTATTTTTCACATTTGAAAACAGCGTAATTTGTCATGAAGCAGGGTATAACAAAGGAAAAGGACCCCAAACTTACTTAAAAATGACCAACCAAAAAAATCCCCCCCAAAAAATCCAACAAAAAAGCACTGGGAAAAAAAAAACACAAAGAAAAAAGGGATTTACACAATGACTGTGACCGACACAAATGCACACAATGAACCAACAAAGAAACAGGAGAAGACAGGGACTATATACACACAGGGTAACGAGCAACAGGTGGGGCAAATGAGACACAGGTGAAACTCATGAGTGATTAATGAGAGAGGGAAAACTAGGGAAGTAAAACCAGACTAGAAACACAAGAAATCAACAACTACAAAATAAATCAGGAAACACTGAAAACTAATCTAAAGAATAAAACACTGAGAACAGGAGGGAAACAGGGTCAAACACAAACTGAAAACTCTCAAGACTGGATCACAGGAACAATAGGGAACAGAAACACGAGGAAAAACACAAAGAAAATAAACTCAAATAACAAAACCAGGAAAAAACTGAATGAACAGAACATATCATGACATAACTTGTATTTTCAAAACTACAATTTCCAGGCTAAGAGTCTCTGCTAATGCTACAACGTGATTCCTTTCTCTGGTTTGGATGGGCACATGGATGATTGAAACAGACTTAACAATTACTAAGTGATGCAGGACAGCCGTCAGATGACTTCTAAAACCGCTGCTCTGATGTAAAGGTTATGAACACGTGCTGCCGGTAGACATATGCCCTCATAGCCATTAAGTGAATGGTAGCACCCAAGTTTATCTGTAAAATTCTGTCAGTCATTTTCAAATCTCAAACGCTCAAAATACTCATTTCATGCACTTAAAGCTATAGATCAACATCATTTTAGCCGGCTGCAGTTTTTTGTCATACCAATGACTAATGTACAAATAAACATCTGGCCTATTTTATCACATTTGTGATAAATGGTAGCTTTTTTTACAGCCTTAACCAGCTAATTTGTTTGTTTGTTGATTCATTTGGGATATCACATCTTCACATAGCCCAAAGCCACCATGCCTCTTGATTTAATTGATTATCCACAGACAAAATGCTTTCCCTTTCTCTGAGCTTTGAAGTCTAAACTGATAACAGTTGAGAGAAATCTGAGGGATTGCATTCAGAGGACAGCTGTATTTCATTTATCTTTTGTGGGAAAATGAATGCTGTGATTGCTGAGTGCCTTTTTATTCAGTGAAATACTGCAGGGGGCATTGGGGTACGGATGTGAGATTAAAGACAAACAGTGCCCTGTAAGTGATGATTTATTAAAGATTCACTTTGAGTCAAATGACTGCCTTTTGGTGTGTAATGCTCATACAGCCAGGGACACTTAAAGGGAGAGTGAAAAATAACAGGCCAAACAATAATCCCTCTTTGTTTGCTGATAAATACACAATTTGCAGCACAGCTGCACTGTTTTTCCTCGGCCTCATCCTTGGCTTCCTCTGCTGTTTCCACATGAGAGGATTGAAAGCTTTGCTGCTTTCAAAAGCTGTTATCAAAGCAGCAGCATAGAGAAAGAAAAGGACACTGCTCTGGAGGTGAATATTGATCTACAATCAGGCCTTTAAGACTGTCCAGCTGTACAGGGAGATGGGGGGCATGAGATTCGGTCTGTCATTTCTCAGCTGGAGGCTATTATTGACATGACCCAACAGTAAGTAGACACACACACTGTTCACACATTGCCCCTCTTACTCAAGGGAATTCCTATAATACATCCCATCAAGTATCTGCGTATATCCACAAAGAGACATGACTAAAACACACATTTGTAGTGTGACTGAGATTTCTCCCAAATCTAGGTCTAGATAGGATTATACCCTAAAACACACAAGGGGGTGTTTGTGACTATGATTCATTTTATCTATAGGTGTATTATCCTGTTGGTGCTATAAGGGTAAATCAAAACATGTTACACTGACTGTTATTTGTCTTAATGTTTACATGCTAATAAAGATACATATGTAGAGCTATAAAGTGTAGCTGTTATTTTTACAACATGATTGCTCCATAAAGCTCAGGGAAGAGGACCACAGCAATTTGTTCATTTGTAATGGAGGGTACCAGATCCTTTTTTTTTTCTACATGAAAGATTAATTGTCTCGGTTTCCCACCCGAGATTGTATTTCTCACTGTGATGTAGTAATGCTGTCAAAGTAAGTAGAAAAACAAGGAGCAAATGTGCCTGAAAAGACTGATCTGTGTGAGCTGAAAATGTGTGTACAGAGACAAAAAAGAAGAGACATCACCTGGAAATAACATGTTTAGGTTGAGACAGTAAAGCCAGATGCAAAGCTATAAACACAGGACTGGTGCTGTTAGACACGTTTTCTTTCCCTCTGGACTTGTTCTACAGTTTGGGAAACTCACAGTATTGAAACCAAAGAGGAAAGCAAGGCAGCAAGTCTGGATCTCTTTGAAAGTGAGCAGATTTTTTGGCTTTGGAGTGTCTCTGTGTTTCATCTCTGTTTTACTGCAAGCAATACTGAGCTACCTCATATTTCCATGAGCAGTTGAGTAGATAATGTCATTCATTTCAGCTATGCACATCTTTTACCAAACCTCATTATGTAAAAATATTTCCCTCCATATTAGTTAGTGTAATAGAGGCGATACTTTCAGAGACAGATGTCTCTGAATTTCCAGATTAAAAACCTTCTGCCTCCCGTAGATGTCATTAGAGTAAGACATTATTTGCCTGTCGTTTGGGTGAGATAATCCTTTAACAAATGTGGAATAAAGTAGAGTCTTTGTTTCATTTGCCAAATGCAAAACATCCGTCACTTTATGTGTCACGTCTCTTAATCCAGACATTGTGTCTTCAGTCAGTTTTCCTGTTTTCTCTCCTCTGTCATTGAGCTGGAAAAGAACGGTTTTGATGCTCACACGCAGACACAAACAGATGTCTACAAGCATTTCTGTGTCACAAACTATCTGTCTTCTCCTCTCTGATCAGAGCAGACAGTATGTAGTGGAAAAGTTGTGTGCTTTGCATTATTTGTTTTCTAAAAAGTTAAACAGCTGCGAGTCACAGAGCATCCTCCGTAGACAGACTGACAGCAGCTCAAAGCAGAACTGCGTATGAACGGCATTTTCCATAGGGAGGAAAAGAGAAAGGGAATAGTGAGTGAAGCGCTATACGGATTTTTTTACAGTTTACCTTCTTTGTTGCATGTTGAAACTCATGAGTTGTCGTGTGGCTGTGTACGTTTTTCCTCTCATTAGAGAACAGATCTGATTGAGCAGAAATAATAAACAAAACAAATTTAGTGGTAAGGAATACTGGTGTGTTTGCATTATGCAATCTGCTGTTCAAACAAAGTGGTTTACACCTTTTTAATCGGTAACCACTGAGCGTGATTCAACTGCAAAGTAACTGAGTCACGACCACTTTAGTTAATTTTTGCGTGCAATAAGTTGGATTGGTTAGCTCAGTTGGGTTCCTGTCCTTCCACATGGTAGACATAAAAGTTAATAGGAAATCACTGGTGGATTGTTTTTTGAACCAGGGATCAGCAATTACAGAAGCTCTAATCCCCTGATGCAATCTTTTGAAACATGAAGACAATTCCCTTCATGAGATAGGCTGGAGCAGTAAAGGCCAGAGAAAATAGAGCAGCTTCCAGTGAAACGGAAACACTGGATGACGTAGAGACATTAGTGGTTTTACGGTTTGCTACCAATAGCATGAGCGGATTGTTTTATGGATAAGCAAAATATCTAACCAAAGAGATCAGTGTGGGGACTGTGGAGTGTCCTGGAGAGGCAAATAAACTGATTAACCCTAGAGCACTATCGCCGGGTGATTTTCACTTGACCAAACACGTTTACGTGATTTTCATTTTGTTCACTCTAAAAACTCTTGGGTTATTTCTTCAACCCAATTCCTGGGTTATACATGTTGAGTTAAATTTCTGGGTTATTTTTCAGGTCCATACCCATTTCTTGGTTCATATGGATTCTACTGTAATCCAATTTGAGGTTTTTTTTTAATGGGTTAATAATTATGGGTTATTTTCCTGAGAGTAACCCAATAATTGGGTCAGACCGTTGGGTTCGATTGACACTACGTGGTTTCTAGGCCTAATGGCAATTAAAGTGACTTGGTGACCTTGTGAACTTTGACCTTGATTTTATATACAATATGATATATAGTTATTGAGTCAACCCAAAATTTGGGTTTTGAATAACGCAACATTCTGGTTGTAGTTGGTCTCTTTTCAACCCTGGTGTTGGGTTAAAAACAACTCAAGTTGGGTTGTTTTTAATTCAGGGGTTTTTAGAATGTTGCGTTTGTCTGAGTATTGCATCTAAGGTTTAAATTCATGTATAACATCTACATCATTGCAAGGTGGTTTGCAGAAGTAGAAGGAAGAGTAAGCAGAACACCCATTCAGACGTCTACCAATTGTATGTTATGAGTTGGCACTAAGATCAGCTGATGTTCTGTGGGTTGAGCTTGACTTTATGGTCTGCCCTGACTAATGCTACGTTAAGATTTTACAGAACAACCACAGGACACAATAATAGCGTTATCTGTTTTTTTACACATGGGGAACGCCACATCTGAAAGAGTTAAGAGATAGAGAGATATATTCAAAGGCTTGCCAGGGTACATATTACAAGACAACTGAGCTGAGCATGTGTTCGTTGATCTCGAGGACAGCAGAACAAACACTCTGCAGTCACTTATGGATCTGGATGAAAGCCAGTCCTGGAGCAAAACGACTACAAGAGGAAGCCATGGCAACAAAAGCAAAACGCAAGGCTTGAGTTGACACTGACATCAATTTTCTGCTTTGTGGCAACAACAAAAGTGTTTAATAACATAAAGAAAAGGAACTGCATAGAAACTGTCACTGTAATAGATGTATCAGGTAGCTAAGCAGCCAGCAAGGTTCAGCTTAACAACAGCCAGTCATCTGCCATGTTGGTTCCTCCAAGTGTCATGTTTGACTGCAAGGAATTTGCATGATTTTTTGCAAGATGGTTGTTGGTGTTAAATGGAATCTGTTAGTGTGGGGTGTAATGTGTTTTATTATGGCACTTCCTACTTAAAGCTCCAATGAGGGTTTTTTTGACATTAATAAAATAGACTGAAATTCATGTTGATGGCTTATAATGATATACAAAAGCAGAAAAGACCATCAGCGACAAGACTGAAGATTTTTATAACCTAATTTTTTCATCCGAAATAGATTCAAGGAGGTAGGTCCAAGCCTGGCTGCTGGAAAGACTGATATGTTTTTACAAATTTCTCCTAAAATATTCACAGTGATTGGTACATTTGACTGTCAAAATTCAGCAGGATGAGATTAGTTGTAATATATCACTTCTCACGGATCTAGCGAACAAGGTAAGCAAAGGCTGCTTTGTCTACAGGGGGAGCCAAGAGTGATATCATCCAAAAGTTCCTCAAAGGGCCTTTAATTCAACGGAAAAAACAACAACAGTAAAATCTGCAACCATTTGTAATTATCTGTGAAGTCTATTCCAGTTTTCAACATTTGTTAAAATTTTAAGGCGTTTTAACACCTCTTGGCTTCTAATCAATATATGTTGACATTATCAGAGATACAATGTTAAGTTTACCTCTTGCAGTTCTGGATCTTTCACATGGATCTTGACTCGTCGGCCGGATCCTTGCCGTAGATACAGCCTCTCATTGGATCTTGTTTATTGGTGTGAACGGTCACCTAATTTCCACGTTGTTGGTGCTGTCTGAAGAAAATAAAGTTATTCCACAAGTAAATGAACATTTATTGTTAACTCAAAGACAAAACGCTGAAGGTTGATGGGCAGTTTTGTGCGGTGATAGAGCAGAAAAGTACAGGGAGAAACAGAAATCTGTAGTGATGAAAAAATATCTTGAAAGTTGAAAAAATAAAACCTTTTGAAACAGGCTGACACTGAACTCCTTTGGTTTGATGTATTATCATTTCATGAGTACCTTATTGTCCAAGACTTTAGCTATTTTCAACCAACATTGTGACATAACATGCTCCATAAATCAGAAACACAGATAACCTTCTATTAAATGAAAATGTTTTGAAAGAAATGAGTCCCTGCTGCTGTGGTTACATTGCCATGTTGTGGGTTGTGAAGGCTTAATGTAAACTTGTATCCATGGGAACATGATTTCAACATTTCCCACAAAAGAGCTTTGTTTAAGTGAAGCTCTGGCTGAGTACATCTATAGGAATGACATTGAAACGAACAGTTTTGTTTGAACAATGAAATAGCGAACATGTTTGTCTCCTTATAGACTTGGGTTTATTTTGCATTCACTGCCAAGTACAGCAATGTTTGCTTTTTTTCATCTTTGTCTGTTTCCTGACTTAAAAAAAACCCTCTTTTCGTTCACATCGTTAGCTCGTAGCTGTCTAGCCGGTGGTCTCGCCGGATCTCAGTATTTCCCAGGACAGTGTTGAAGGACAGTAGAGAGTCTGAAACTGAATCTTTCATCCTCCTTTCTCAAACTGTGACTCTCTGAAAAAATTATCAGACTAAACAAATGCTTGTACAATCTCTGTCAAGTTCTGACAGGAAGGATACGTGCGCTCCTCTCAGACCGGATTTGAAACAGATCTCCCCACTTTTCACAGCGGTGTAAGTTTGTTGTCCTGGTGGGAAACATTTCCTCAGTGACCCAGAGCCTGAGGCTTGAAGGCTGGATCCTCATCTCTCCCACTCCCACTCAATATTTCCATCCTGTAATACACCTTGAGACAGGGTGTCTATTCATGTAGAAATCGCCTCATCAGGAGGTGCTGTCTTTATGGTGGGCTGTGTTTTACAGACCATATAAGCTCCCACAGAGGAACATTAGCCCCCCCTCCATTTGCTTACCAGATAATGTAAAACATATTGAGGATTTTAAAGAGAAAATTAATACAGCTCCTGTGTTTTATGCATTTTTTTTTCTTTTACAGTTGATAATGTTGTTACCCTCAACCAAAATTGACTTGTAGTGTTTTTTATCCTCATGTGACAGTCGGGATTTCATCTCCTTTGTCCGTGCTTAATCACCACAAGTCTGTGAGCTGAAAGATGGATTGGCAGTGTTGATAGCTGCAGTATATTCCACTGAGAAGAGTAATTACAGTAATTCTAAAAGGCTTGGTGAAGTGTTTGGAGCTGTATAAACAGCCTCTTTATGTACACATTTTTGAAAGCACAAGAAAAGGAGACAAATCGCTGCGTAATCCGGCATTTCTTCAAGACATTACAAGGACCAAACCACCAATTTTTCATGAGTTATGTCGAGAAGTTTGACAACGCAAGTTTCCCCTTTCTCTAGTTGCTCTCTTATTTACAGACACTCAAACACACACTCTCTTTGGCTGAGGCTACAGTGCAGGCATAAGTGGAAAATGTCCTTTATACTCCACTTTTGGGTAGGGGGGGAGTCTTGAAAGGGGGAGGCCCCTCTACATGTCTGACATGTTTCTGTAGGACCGCAGGCCACTGGCTGGCTCAGAGAGCAGGCTTGTGGTGGGCTGTTTGTCTGCGTGAAGCTGGCATGGCCTCTCGTTCCCCTGCATCTGGTCCCCATTAGCAGAGCCGAGAGTATAAAGCAGAGAGCTGACAGCGGCTGGGAACACTCGAGTTCCTGCCTGGATCATGGGGTTTACTATCTGGCTGTGCGTGCTGTGCCTGCAGGCGAGCCTGCTGTCACACGCCCTCGACTGCTCAGGATCAACACAAGGAGAGCTGTGTGTCAGCAGCCAGACCGCAGACGGACAGGTAAGAGGCGCACTTCTAATGGATGTGATAGTTAGGGGTTCACGGTGTCGACCAAGGTGTTCATTATGTGTCAGTCACCATCAGTGCTAATGTGACACTCCAGGGGTGAGTGACGTCTGTTTGAATCTTTTTAAATGTTGTTTTCTTGACTTAACTGCATGTTAACTAACACTTCTGTCAAATTAAAGAGAAAAAAGATCAGAATTATCAGCCTGGACACTTTATGTAATCGAGTCTGGCACTGACGGTTGGGATGATATCTCTAAATTTAAGTCAAGGTGATGTGATTTTCAAGTTCAAGGGAGAAACATCTTAAAGTTCAAGAAAATTACAGGTAATTTACTTGACAGATTGAGCATTTGTGGATTTTTTTTTTCATAAAAATAATCTTAGTTAATTCAAAGCTTAAAAATAAGTCCATTACAGATTTATTGAGCAAATCCTGTTGGATAATCAATCAGCATGAACAGTATGATGTTTTTAAAGATCTGGACAATCTGTACTTTTAAAATGACTAAAATAATACAGTGATTTATTTCAGACATTATGGTCAGTGTTTTTACAGTCCGGGTCAGAGGAAACCGGCGTCTCTGCTGGAATGTGACTTTGCTCTGACTCCTCAGAAAAGAAGCTGCCGTGACGATAATAGTGGTCAAGTGTGTAACAGGCTGGCCAGGGACGTGTACAGTCTAAACCCTGACCTGTTGAGACGTATCATTTATTTTTCTGACAGAAACAAAGTCTCATTGTGATGGTTTTTACAGCCACGCTGCCACCACACTGAAAATATACCCCTCTGTGGAACAAACTCTTTCAGCTCCCTTTTTTTGGCTTTTCATGTGGCAGACGGCTGTTATACTTTAACCTCGTGGTTAGCATTTTTCTGTGGACGGTCCTCATGTTGTGTCCAAAGTAATCACCCTCATCTGGACAACGGATTCAGCAGCTGCAGGAGCAGCGAGGAGGATTTTCACCCACACATGAAAGACTTCTCGTTGGGAATTCTGCTCCATCTGAGGGACTTTGTGCCACATATGTGCTTTTCTCAACAGCGGCTATTTGTATTGTAATTACAGCATGCGCAATTTGAAGCTTCTAATGTGGTGACAACTAACTAATACCCGATGCAGCATCTTTAAGGAGGCTACATTTGGTTTAGCTCACTTATGTTTACCACCAAGGTCACTCATGTTTAAAATGAATACATTAAAGGAGTAATTTATGGGAAACTGCATCCCATTATGTGCACAACAGCAGAAAGCCAGATGGGTTGTGGCAGGTTTTAAATGGGGATAAATTTTGCTTAATATTCCACACACTCCACAAACTCTTCTCCGCACACATACACAAAACATACGGCTCAGTTTAATTAAGTTTGCGCAACATTGCAGTTCCCAGCTGTGGCTTAAAGTCAGAATTGGTGCCATGTTTGGTGACTGGAGTGTTGCAGAGATTTATTTGTTTTTGTCTAGATTTTGCTGAAGCAGGGGCTTTGTCTGTCTGTGTCCTGTCTATGAGAAAGTGGTGTGTAATTGTGCTGTAGAGTCTTTTTTTAATTAATTTAAATCTACTTTCAGTTTAAGAAACAACAGCACAGCTTTTTTTTAACTCTTGATTCTCGCCCTTTCTTATTTACAGTATGCTGAGCCAAACCAGCAGAGGGCGCTACCATTGGCAGATGAACTGGTAGGTGCCATTGCTTACCCGTGTTCTTCTTATCTTGAGTCATTCAGATGCTCCATGTGTGAGTTAGAAAGCAGGCTTAACTCTGAAGATGTCTGGATTATCGGCAAAAAAGAAGGGAAACGTGGTTAGGATGCTAGAAAGACAGAAGAAACAAGAACATACAGCTATCGTTAATCCATACAAACGACACAATTAGCTAACTGTTATGGTTAGCAAAAAATGAGTGTGTCATTATATAGAAACAGTTACAGCAGGTTTTTACAATTATAGCAATGGATGCATTACTGCACTGGGGTACATATTTCAACTACGACATCCAGACAGTTTAGCTGTGGTTGTGAGTGGTTTGTCAAGACTTTCTTAACTGGAGTGACCAAAATAGGGCACTAAGTCATGCAGGGGTGTGACTTAACCTATGATATATTCTTTAATTATTGTCATTTAAGTGTTATACAGATGATATTATCCTGTTTATGATAGTCTTACTTTCAAAAAACACCAAAGAGGAAATATTTATTTCTGACCGTTTGAGAGAAATATACTGAAAATTTGCATCTGTCTACTAAAACAGATGTGTTTTCTTCAATTTAAATACCAACAAAAGAAGCTGTGCTTAATTTAAGGACACATAAAACCCCAAAAAGTTGAGTTTAACTAATATCCCTTCTAAAATAAGATGAAGAGCCAGTAAGTTTTAGGATCTTGAGGCAGCACCCAGAATAAGTAGCTCTCAGAGTGGACCCAAGCCACCCTTGGCTACCCATTTAGACACGCCCCTGCTGCTCTGTGAATTCTTAAATATTCCACTAATATCAATGCCTAATTCAAACTAAAACAGTCATCCAATTATAGACCAACTGCAATCACTGTAAGCCTCTAAATGGCATCAAGGATTGCAAAGCAAATATTTTGTGGCTTATGTGGACGTTTTTGTTTTCAACAGAGCAGAAAAGAGAAAGAGCAGGAAGTCATTACCCAATACTGGAAGCAGTGTTTTTATTCCCACACTTACATAACTTGGGGAGTAAAATGGGACATTGATTAGACTCTAGGCCCTGCAGTACCATCATAAATTTACCACAAAGTCCTAATTGGCGAACAGAAACCTGTTGTTTCTACAAGTGACAGTCCATTTATTAAGAAAACGAGCGGATCAATAGCGGAGCTTGGTTTATGTGGAGATCAATGAGGAATGCAGGAAATGGCAGAGACGCCGGCAATCATAATTTTGCAGTTTAGTTCCCTTTATTTGGAGTTTGACTGCCAGTAAAGAGAAGAGACTTACTGGAAAAGCAAAAAGAATATTTTTTTTCACATAAGACTCAATGCAGCGGTGCAGGAGCTGTTGTTTCCCCTCTGTGGGTGTGGGTGTGGTTGTGACTGTCTCGTCCTTGTAGGTTCTGTTCAGACGAAAGAGACAGCTGGAGCGGAGGGGTCCCACCCACCTGAGCCACTCCAGCCTGCCCGGGGCCGTCTCTGTCAAAGGCTTCCCTAACACTCTCATCCAGGTAAGCCAATCTGGTTAGTCACACAGGAGTCAGAGTGAGCACAAGCCACATGTGGGGGAGGCAGTGACTGCTTAACAATCCAGAGAAGTTCTAGTCATACTGAATCATCTGACTGCATGGGCTGAAAAACACAAACTCATCCTTGGAAACCACATTATTTGTTCATTAGACTGGTAAAAAAGTACGAAACATGATCAATTATGTGACATACAGGCCCAAAGATGTGAGAACAGTATCCATGACAGTGTGTACTAATCCCTGGGTGTTGTTTTAAAGGCTGATAGGTCCAGACGCCACTTGGCTCAAGCTGCGACAAAGAAAAAGAACAAGCGTAAATCCCGCGTTGGCTCCTTCTCCCTCCTTAGCAACGACAAGAAATCCAACCCCCTACAGGTGAGTTTCCGTGGCAACCACAAGCTGATAAAACAGCTGGGGTGAAGAGGCTGGATGTGGAGGCAGAGTTATGAGGCCACCATACTTTGTTTTATAAGATGACTTTGGTGAACTTTAAGGTTCTGTGGGTTTGTTGAATTCGCTCCTTGACTTCTTTTCCGTGTTTGATTTAATTCAAAGGTGACTCGGGCGAAGAGACAGGTGCACATGGATCCACCAAAAAGAGGGAACTCAGGTCGCTCTGGGGCTTTCTCTGTCCTGGTGAGTCATTTTATCACATTTATTCCCTCAATCGTGTTTTTTTTTCCCTTTGCTGTTCAGATTCATTATGTTTTCTTTGTTTTACAGGGAGATCCACAGACTGATGGACAGACCGACAGACCCAAAAGAAGCATTTAGAAGATGAGTGCAGCAAAATAAAGCCGAACAAGCAGTGTGGACAGTACACAAGTCCACGTTTTTACTAAATCATGTCAAGAAATTGATGAATATTATGAACATTTGACATAAGGGGAAAATCTTCTGTGTTTATCTAGTTCAATATTTGTGCCCATCAGTGCTGTTTCAACTGTAGGCCAGCTGATTTTAAAGGGACAGTCAAGTACTTTTGAAGTGGAGCTGTATGAGGTACTTGAAGACAGTAAATAAATTACCCACAAGAGAGGTGGCAAGTTTGGCAACTTTGTTGGGATACATGAAGTTTTTTTAACAGTTACAAATGTTTCTAGATCAATTTTAGAAACTATAAAGTTGCTGTGTGTGTACGCTATATTCAGAAGTTTGTCATGGCCTTGCCGCCACAACGTTTTTGCACTATTTGTAGACGTAAAAGGATGTTCCCCTGTCTGCACTTTGTATGTTTCAGTATGAGTTTTGATATTTGTTTGAGACCATTTCAGAAACGTATCTCCTACATATTATGCAGCTATCATAATCATGTCTGTAGGGTTTGTTATTTTAGTACAGTCTTCCCCTTCAACAGCCAGAAGATTTCATTTTTATGTCATATTTTAAGGCTTTTAATTGCATTTATGATTTCCTCAGAGAGTACAGGACAGTGGCTAAGCAGGACATGAGGAGGGAGGGTGGGAAATGACATGAGGGACAGGGGCCACAGGCTGAAACCAAACCTGAACTGACCACTTGAGGCAAAACCTCATATATGAGGTGCATGTGGGTAGACTACAATGTCGGCACCACCTCAACGCAGTGCCATCATCTAATAAAACTCACTAACTTTGAAAAAGTACTTCCACAATAGCCCATTACAATCCAGAATAGTTGATAAAACAATCAGGAAGGAACCCTGGATGCTGAGTGATGCAGACTGCTGGTGAATGTAAGCCAATGGTGTCCACTGATTCAGAAAAGGTACTGATGTTATCAAGTCATACTTATGACAGCAGTAGCTTTAAGATGGTGGGCTCGCAGTTTACACACCAGCACCCATCAGGATCACACAGTCTAAGATATGGTTGTATTTTTTTATTTTTATTTTTTTGTCTGTACAGAAACCCTCAGACTATAACAAACAATTTGTGTAAGGCTGGTAGAGGAACACGTGTGTTACGTCTGCAAATAGTGCAAAAACAAAGTGGCTTCCTGACTGCTGAAGTAAAGCTATGAAACATTTCTAAATAAAGTGTACTCTTGCTGTTTGAAACAGACTCTCTTTAAAGCAACTGTAAGGAGTTTTTTTTATGTTTATGAAAAAGACTGAAATTCACATTGATGTCTTTTCATTATACCCTAAAGAAATATTAAGTGTTCCCCATAAATGATCAATTTGACCACCAAAAGATGCAACTTATGCCTTCAGAGGACAAGAAAAGCAAAGACTGCTTTCTTCACATGGATGCAAAAGTTGACACGAACCAGTGTCATTACAGTTCATTACAGGAGCTTTAAGTTGGCTAAATTAGGTTCAAAAGTTGACCCTGTCTGAAGCTGTTGATAGCCTAGCTTACTTGCCAGTTCTAAACTAACCCAGCATTTCCTGTGGGTGTTACACTTACTAGTGACAAGTTCCTCATCCATCCCTACATAATAAAAACAAGCTGTCCCTTAAAGTGTTGGTCTACACTACGAAATAATTACTATGTACTGTTTTTAGTTTCTAATATATTCCTGCATGTTCAAAAATCAAATGATCCCATGTCATTATTATTATTATTATTATTATTATTATTATTATTACAGTTTGCCATTTTGTTGTTACCTATTTAATCACAGATTCCTGATAAAGATTGGGGTTATATTTTTGCAGAAATATTTCTTGTGTTGTTGTATCAGATTTGAATAAAAGTTTAGTTGGTGGAGTGTTGTGTTATAAGTCTTTATACATCAAGAACTATATGTTCCACTTGTGCAGTCTCTTTAAAACCGGATAATGGTCTCACATGCCGAGATTTCTTAAGAAACTGCGCTCCTGTTTTTATAGCAGCTCAGTCTTTACTACCCCCTTCCCAGAAAAACACAATTTTCCAGCGTAAGTGCCGCAGACTTTGAATTAAGTTTCATGAAATGCCACTTAGTCCCCAATTACAGATGGGGAGTGTTACAGGTAATGCGCCTGGTTGGCAGGATAAAGCAGCAGGAAGCTCTCTTCTATTAAAGGCCGTAATCCATTTATACCACAGCAGCCAAGGGCAAATAAAAAAGCTGTCGATGTGTGCATGAGCAAGAAAGAAGTCCTGATGCTATCCAGATCATCTCTTTCATGAGTCAAATTTGGTCTATTTAGATATCTTGTGTCGTTTTAAATTCATTTGGCTTGGACTGGAAACACAGTATGGTCTGGACAAAAGATTTGTTGAAGGGTTTTTCATTATGCTGCCTCTAAAACATGAGCCTCTCCTGCATTTAAGTTTCCATTTCCCAGCTGGATTTACCTGAGAAAAACGGCACACTGGGTTAAAAATAAAAACAGCAGAAATAAAACCTCAAATTGGACCCACAGCCTTCCGAAAAGATACCACTGGATAATCCAGTATATGTGGCAATCTGTTGAGGCCAATGAGCCTGTGTGATTGTGTAAGGCAATCTAAGTGAACAGGATGACTCATCCTGTGCTCATTTACTGTTCAAAGCCCCTCAGCTCATGACGTAAGCATGAGGTACTCATAGTCTCATTATACTGGCTTTTATAGACACAAACAGAAGGAAAAGGGAAAAAATAACACAACATGATGATATTTTTAAACCCTGCATTCTCCCCCAAAGCACAAGAATATCTTCCAGCAGCTCGATCTGGGAGAAAACAGACATGTGTAAGGTCCCAAGCTGCTGGCACGTCATCAGATAACCTGGATTAACTGATTGTGAACTGTCTTGTTGTTGTCATGGTGACAAACAGTCACAGGATGCCATTCAGATTTCTCTGAAAACCAGCAGTGATACAGGCTAAGATATAAAATTACCATTTAGAAGCAACAAGAGGAACACAGTTTGCATCACGTGCACATGCATGCGTGCACACACATACACACAGCTGTGGCAGCTGGCTGCAGTGTCACTGACTGACTGAACCCTTGGGCTCACTGCATCAAAACAATGACCTGATAGAATGAGGTGGAAGTGTCTGAGAGAGTGACTGAATCACAGACACGTCATATATAGAAATCGACCATATGAACCCGCTTCCTCTGGTGACGTAAATTAAAGTTCAGACTTCAATCTGAGCATGTGTCACCATTTGTGTGGTCAATACAAAGGGGATCCTTGCAGCTCCCCACAGTCATTGCGGTTGTGTGATGGCGTGCCGCATTGTTTCCTCTCGTCATCCCCTTTTTTAAACAAAGCAGATGATAGTAACTTGAAAGAAAATAATTAGTAAGCTTCCAATCTATAGGAGTGTGGTCGGAAATGGCCCGGCAGAGCAACATGTCAGAATTTCCCATAAAAGCTCAGTCAGGTTCATATGTAGTTAGTGGCTTTAAACATCCTTTTCAAGCAGTGGAAACCACGATGTAAGTATTAGTCTCTGATGACAGGAGTCTACCCATCCCAAACAACATGCAATGTGGGAAAAGAAAGTCACAAACAAGTTCTGCTAAGCACCGAGGAGAAAATTTGGTACGTGCTTTTTACTCGACTGAACAATTAAACATGATCAACCTCACTTCTTTGAACCAGAATTCATAGTTTGTTAACAAATTATTTCTATTTCTATTACTGTGGGCCCAAAATTCAAGTCAAATGTCTTAACTAAATTGTTTCCTTGCGGATGGATGTTTCTGTATTGCTGTGAGCGCTATGTGGAGAAAAGTGAGCATCATGGCAAGTCTAATGAAAGATGTGAAATTACAGTCATTCAGACTGATCAACATGCTCAGTCAAGCCTCTCTTGAAGAGAAGATAGTTAAAGGATTGTAAACAGTATTCCTCTGCTCACTTTTCTCTTGACTCAGACAAGTGCTTTAGGTCATCAGGCTAAACTGTCGGCTTGTTTATTTCAATCAATACAATCTTAACAAAGCTGATCATATCACCGACTAAAACCATGAAAAGTCATCTAAAGGTTTCCAGGTTTCAAGGAGGGTGCCTCCCTGTGATTGACAGCCTTGACAACGTTTTCCCTGCTCAGTATTCCTCAAGTGGTCCTCCCCCGTCTCCTCTCTGTTCCCACTGACCTGAGACTGTGCCCATGCTTTCAGGCTGAATTTGGCTCCTTCTCTTCATCTCCTGCCACTTCCAATCAGATCAGATACAGGGCGTCGGCTGTCTCCCCTCACCTCCTGTCACTCCTCCTCCTCTCGGGCTTGACATCAGCTCCTCCAAACAGCCTTCTTAACTCTGCCTGTCAAAAGCTCATCAGACTGTTGCCACGTTACTCCGTCCCTAATGAAGAAAAGGCACAGAGACATGTTAGATTTGTGTAAATCCTCAGTAGCGGGGTTGTGATGAAAGCTCAATATATAGGCCTGGTAACCTTTGAAATGAATGGCAGAGGGGGGGATTATTTATGAGCCGATGCAGAATTTATTGACTTTTTCAGCCTCTGTTAGCTTCATATGACAAACAACCCCATCTTCTTGGTGACACGAGGCAGTATGCCATCTGCAATCAATTTTATTTGCCACTTTGTCACGACTGAGAATCAGCTATGACTCTGATTCAATGTTATTTACACGAACATTTCTAGTTACTGTATTTAATAACGTTGATTACATATTGGAAATACAAGTTATGTTGATGGTCTAGCTATCTAGTTATGTCTACCTTGTGGCTTTCTCTGCAGCATCCATATTGGAACAGGGTTGAGGTTTCCTCATAAAACTATAGACAAGGACTCTGTAGTGTTACTAGTATCGTGTCATTTAAACTGCTACTAAGCAAAAACCACAGTCAGCGCCGTCACTCTCCCAGTTTGCAGCTACAAAGTGGAAACGTGTTGATCACTGGAGGGAAATCCTTGCACAGCGCAGCTCAGCTGAGGGTACGAACATCCTCACAACTGTCTCGAGCCGCTTAACCTGGGCAGCACATGAAACAAAGAGTGCAGATCTGTCTCCAGGGTGTAGCTTTAGTCTCAAGGTTAAGGGAAAGCTCTGTGTAGATTCACAGAGATTTTTTGAATTGCTCTTGGTCTGGACCTTCTCCTGAGGCCAAGTTGTCACTGGGGACCCTAACAGGGGCCTCTACAACATCGCCCCAAGGCTTACAAACAAACCTCCCTGTCATGTAAAGGGAGCAATTCATGGAGGGGGGCAGCTGCAAAACTGAATGAAATCCCAAACCTATGGACTGTATATCACCTCGCATGATTTAAACCTGAGGACTTGCCTGCTGCACAACAATTTAATTCTAAAACTTTTTTGCTTCATGTCTGATTAAAGGGATATTCCGGCGTAAAATTAAGTTATGGTCAAACACACCATAATGCAGAGTTAGACACTCCGTCGATAGAGATGAATGTTGCCAAACACTGGCCTTTTTAGTTATACCAACTTTAGTAACGACTGCACGATAGTAATACAGAGACTCATGCACTCAACCAAAAAGCCACTTTATAGCCACAAATAATGCTCAGAACAGAGCCTAACTTCATCAACAGTACATATAGGGTCCTAGCCATAGTACCAGCCACCAAACATCTTTTTAACTTTGCCTAATTTGAACTGAACACAACTCACCCACTCTCTTCCAGCGGCCTCTTGTTTTTACGGAGACCTCTGGGCGAGTCCATTGACTGCAGCGGGGGGGACGTAGCTCAAGGAAGAACATATATGATCTTCAACATTTATTAGTGGCTGGGACCCTATATGTACTGTTGATGAAGTTAGGTGCTGTTCTGAGTATTATTTGTGGCTATAGAGTGGCGTTTTGGTTGAGTGCGTGGCTCTCTGTATTGCTATCTGCGGTCGTTACTAAGGTTGGTATAACTAGAGAAGGGAGCGGTCGGCAACATTCATCTCTCGAGGGGGTGTCTAACTCGGTGTTACAGTGTGTTTGACCCTAACTTAAAGGTACTTGCTGAACACCTGCTTGAAGAACAACTGACAACCAAACCCCAAAACCCCTTCTTTGCCAGTCCTGTCTGAGCCCAGAGTCAGCTTTGCCGAGTGATTGTGACCTGTGGTGCACTGTGAGCACACCAACATGATGGTTACGTCCCTCTCGGGGCACTATCATCTTCAACATGAGTGCCGGCTTGGCTGAATTAAAAAGAAGATCACATGAAAGCCTGAAAGTTGTTTGTTTGATGTTGTCAAGGAACTTCAGTTCCTAAGAAGCACTTTCAGCCGCCAGACTGGGTCTGCACACAGGAGACAGGAGGCAGGGTCTGGTCTGTGGACAAGGAAGGTACTTTTTATAGCTACAAGGAGGAGATGAGTTTTTTTCTCAGCTGGTATTTTCTGGTTAAAATGGTTGAAGTACAACTGCAAGGATGGTGGGATGCAGATTTTTGTTGGTTAGCCAGTTCCATGCTCACTGTTTTCCTGTCTTTATGCCAAGCTGAGCACACACATTCTTGGTTTTAGTTTCATATTTACGTGTGAACATGGAGTGATATCAGTTTTCTCAGGAGATTCACATGTTTCCAGGAACGTAAAACGTAAGTATATTTACAGGAAATCAAGAAACACTAATTCAGCTGTCTGTGATTGAAAAAATACTCATGTAAGATTTCTGGAATAGAGAATATAATCAGTGAGGGTTTCACCCTAACCACCATTTATTTTCTGTTTATTTCATGTCTAAAAGGGTTTTGAAACTGGTCCCCAATTCAAATGGAAGCAAAGACATCACCATCTTGACCAAAATTGGTTTAAAGAGGTTTTCACATGCCAGTGTCAACATGCTTGACGTTCATCTTGACAGCCCAGACCTCAGCAGAACGCACATCCATCAACCAAAAGTAACCCAGACAGAAATGTCTTATGGTTTGGAGTGAATATTCACCCAGAAATCTGAAAATCAACATGAAAGCAAAGCCGTGAGATGCTCCTGTGAGTAAAGCAGAAAGCGAAAATGCAAGATTTTTTTTGTCTATTCTGTATCAGGGCAATTCATGCGTGTAGCTCTCCTTGAAGATGATGGATGTCTGCTGAGTCACTGCCACAGGCCAATCTCTGCCCTGCTCAGTGCATTAAAGCAGAAAATATTGCTGAGTTTGACCCATCGGCTATGATATAGGTTCACAGAAAGCTGATATATTAATAAAGAAATTTGCACAGACAGGAGAAATCAATTTTATATTTATGGATGGGACTGGTATGGCAGAGAGAACCAATGATAAACTGCAAAAGCAGCATTTCTAAAAGATGAATATTTCAAGAAAAACAAGGTGAACGCATCAGATGTATGGCCGTTTACTAGGCTCTGCTATCTCTTTAAATCAATTTTAATTGAAATCCTGGTGTAACTCAGTTTATAAACAAGACAGAGGACTCAGCGTGATTTAGTGAGAGCTATGTGCGCTGAAACAAGAATTCTCCCTCTCATTCCTATTTCTCTTTGGTATGACACCAAGGTCGACTCGGGCTGTGAAGTGGACAGCCTGTCAGTAGAGAGGGCAGCCTAGGGAGTCACACGGGCAAGGGAGGAATTCAAATCAGCCTGGGATGTTTCAGACAAGGCCACAGAGCTTAAAACTTCCTCCAAGAGTGTGAAAGATGTCTTCAGCGACCTGAGCAAGGAAAAGAGGATGGGTCGGGTCTTCCTGCCTCTGCTTCTGACCACCATCCCATTTGCTTTGAAACCGTTTGTGAAGATGACTGTCTGTAAATGGCACAGTTACGCATTGCAGATGAAAACAAGTGTGGAAAAAGGAGCATGAAATTCCCCGGGTACATTCCTCAAGGGGAGCAAAGTAATGGCATCTCTGGGCCAGGAAAAATGATGAAGACACATTGAAGAGCAGCATAACACATTATGTCATTGTCTCTGATTTTACAAACCACTTCAGGGACCACAATAAGGAGAGGAGTACTTGAAGCTTGTGGTTGGAAAAAAAAAACTGCTTTCTGCTTTCCAAGCCTGCCTCACATGTAGAAGTAATTTGAAGAGACCAAAACGCACACAAAAGCTTGTGATTACTGGGAGTGATTAAAACTCGCAAGCTAGCACAGTCTGCTGATAAAAATCTTTCATTCCTTATCCGCATCTCAGTCTGTTGCCGCCTCTGTATCTGTCATGCATTCATATCTCTCCTATCTGTCAGAGAGATTGCACAGTGAGTGCATCAAAATAAATGTCAGTCAGCATCCCTGATGAATGATAAAGAACCAAATATTAGATGTTGTGTGGGGAGAATATGAAGTAATATGGACGTCGACAGCGAAGGACAAAGCTAAAAAGGACTTTTTGTTGTGATGCTACACTTGACAAAGTTGAACTCAGAGTCCATGAGGTTTGCCTGGTGCCTGTCGGGGCAGAAACATATTAATATTTGATTTGAGGCTACTTCTCTGTGAACATTACGGAGTAAGAGAATGAAAGCGAGAGAGAGGGGGAGGATTGGGCCCTGTTGGCCCTGGAGTGTGGGCTCACATTGAATTTTGAAGTCATAAATGGATGTTTCACAACAGCAGCGCGTGTGGCTCTTTATAGGCTCCTGAGAGGACCATAAATCATTTGGTCATATGTTGGTCCGCCTCTCTGGATCAAAGAGCTCTCTCAGCATCTCTGTAACACATTCTTACCATCACAAATATGAAGTGCAAGCAGGGAAAGGAGACTGACATTTGATAGATATATATGTATTTGTCCATTTAAAATGACACGGAAATCTGCAATACACCAATTATGCCTTAAACAGAAAGATATCTGCTGGGAAGTGTAAGAGTGATGTAATTTTGAAACAATATTGGCACATTGTTTAGATTGACATTTATTTTGTAACGGCCAATTATTTCCAGTTTTCCAACACTTCTTCTAACCACATGTCAACACTTGGCTGCATTGCTGTGGCTGTCAAAGGGGGAAAAACAAACACTCTTCTTGCTGAACATTACTCATATTTCAATGGATCTTGTTTGAGTCCTCCTTAGCACTTTCCTTTTGCCTGCTGTTCTCTGGACTAAGTAGGAGTTCGCTGACAATCAGGATTAGACTGTCCAAAATTGACCAAACACTGCCCCCTTGTGGTTGTGTGACTTGTGTTTTTCTTCATCAAACGCATGCCCTCCTGGGACTGGCTCTTTGGGGTTTGGCAGATGAGGGGGGTCTCGGTTGGATCGTGTGATAGCTCTCTCCTGTGGTGTTCACTGCTCCTTCTTCACTTATATCCACACAGTTTGATGTAGAGTGGGCTGACTTCTCCTTGTCCTTCTCCAAGCTCATCATCATAGTCTGTTTTAAAACGGCTTCATATTTTCCACTCATCCGCTTCACCTCAGGTTCATATCCGCTGCACTGCGTTTGAAGCTTCCTCATCTCCTTTATCAGCGCGTTTTTCTCCTGGACAGCACGTTTATGCTGCAGCATGTGGAAGTCTCTGGCTTTCTGCAGCCTCTCCAGTGTCTCAGCTGAAGCAGATTTAGCCTGGTTGTACTCCTCACGTTCCCTCTGCGCGTTTTCCAGCGCACTCTCCAAATGCTTGTTTTCGACGTACACCTCAGGCACAACACCGACCTGCTCTGGGGTCACCAGCCCTTTATGTAACATCTCAGCCCATTCAGCCTGGAAATGGTCAAGTGTTTCTGTCATGCCCATTTGAAAAAGAAAGTTGCGTAAAAAGTTATCCACGGGCTCCTCAGGTTTGTGGGTGGTGGAAGAGTTGGACCTCGCAGCAGCAGCAACAGCAGCCCGGTCTTGAATGGCTTTTACTGTTGCCTCCAAATCTTCTTCTCCTTCTGTCAAACTACAATCATCTTCAAGAGGTACTTCTTCATACTGAAAGCTATCTTCACTTTCGTCGTTTTCTTGGGAAGGGTTTGGGACGCTCATTGTTTTCGCACACGAAGGAAAGCTTGTCGTTGCCATGGTCACGAAACAGCCGTTTAACAGCCGCGATATTTGACGAAATCTCGTTTGGGACGATGGATAATGTTTAGAGCGGCCCAAGCCTCAATGGGGCCCTAAGCAAAATTAGATTTGAAGACTCCATTGCTGAAGGAAAAGCATGTTGAAGCTCCTTTAAAGTTTGCTGCACAACATTTTATTACAAATAACTTAATTTCTGAACTTGTTTGTTTTGGTTTCTTTGTATGTATGGATTACTTGGGTTGCTACCGACATCTAGTGAAAATTTCATGCCAATAGCACCTTTAGAAATATATGTAATGAAAAAAGGTGACCTGTTCAATACTAATTTTACCCGCTGTATATAAAGAATAAACTGCAGGCAGCAGTTATGATGGTGGAACAATGGGCAGATGAATGGGGCTTTAAGTTTTCTGCTGCAAAAACACAAGGGATATGTTTTTCTAGGCGTCACAAAGAGATCTCCCTGAAATTATATGGTCATAAAAAATTTAGCAGGTCAATGTCGTTAGACTACTTGGAATGTGGTTGGATGAAAAGCTGACATGGAGGCAGCACATTGATAAAGTGAGGGATAAGTGTATAAGAGTCAACAATCTCTTGAGATGCTTTTCAAGAAGACACTGGGGTGCAACCAGAGCGTCACTGCTAAATATATATCAGGCCATTATGAGAGCAACACTTGACTATGGGTGTATAGGCTCTCTAGCAGCAGCAGAAAGTCATCTAAAAAAACTGGATGTGCAGCAGACTCAGGGACTGAGGATATGTAGTGGAGCATTTAAATCCTCCCCAGTAGCAGTCATACAAGTAGAAATGGGGGAACAACCGTTACGGATCAGGAGAATGAAACGTCTGTTAGCATACATGGTCAATCTTCAAGGGCACATCCTGCTAAAGCCATCCTGGAGGTGTTATACTTTGGAACAGTGTGGATGTCACTTTAAAAATGTCTAATTCAAATCAAACTATAGAGAAGATTAAAAGATTATTAAAAGTAAACTAACAAAAAATGATTTTATACTGATTATAATTGATTGCATAAAAGTTATATTAATTCTGAATATTATAACACTGATAATTATATTTTGCAAGTAATTATAATAAGTAACCTATTTAGTGTTGAGCAGATATCTTTGTGTTTAATATGTATGTATTTATACAGATCTTTGTAATTTATACAAATAGATTTGTGGGTTGTTGTTTTTTTTAAACCTCTCATTTGCAAGGAAGGGGCAGGACTAGATAAGCGTTTTGTTTCATTCTGTTCCTCCTCAAACTGTTTATTTTGACAGAAATATGTTGTGTAAATGTATCTTTGACACGTACAGTTGTTTGGTGTACATATAAATTATATTGTTTTTTTATTTTATTTTATTTTTTTTTTTGGTGTTGTTCTTAACGTTTGAGATAAATAAAGCAGAAAAAAAGAAAAGAAAAAACAAAATGGTTTGCCAATTTACTGTCCCACACCCCAGTCCAGTAGATGGCGGTAATGCACCTTTAAGTTGGTTTGCCAACCGCCAATAAACTCCTTTTAAGAAGGAGAAGAAGAAGAAATCTCCGTTTGGCCGAATCGAGAAACAATCATGGCGGACTATAAGGAGGCGCCCTTGATGAGTCGGCCAAAAACACTTGATGCGAACGAGTATTTCAACCTTTCGACGGAAAAGCGACGTGCCGAAGAGGAAAGGGCAGCACTGCGAGCGAACCTGAAGAGACAGTATCAACTACAACTGAATAACCCGCTGAGGAAGGAGCTTGTTGTGAGTGGCGACCTGCTAGCTGGCAATGTCACCCTTGAAAACGGACAAGGCTAGAAGCTAACTACAGCTGGGGATATAGGAAATAGGACAAAAAATTAGAATTATTCCCCGTTTGGTTACTAAGAATGATAGCTTTTCTACTTTACAATGTTTCAGCTGCACCCGTATGTGAGTGTGCATCCAAGTAAGTCCACAGTGTCAGACTGTGAAGGCAAATCATGATAGCTAAGTCCGTTGTTATTTTATTTTAGACTACTGGAGAGAGAACATGCAAACAGTGAGTTAAAGTGTAATTAATTCAGCTTTTGACAGTCTACACAAGCCAATAAGAGAGTGATATTCACATGGTCTAATTACATTCCAGGTAACAATCCAAGTGTCCTCACCTTTTGTCCTTAATTTTCCCAATCCAGGTGTGACTGATCATTGTGACTACTCAGACACACCTGAATTCATCAGTTTGTCCAATAATGCAAGACAGGAAATAATGGAGCTGCCTATAAGGGATATTCCGGCGTAAATTTGATTTAGGGTCAAACAAACGGTAACACCAAGTTAGACACCCCCTCGAGAGATGAATGTTGCCGACCGCTTGCTTCTCTAGTTATACCAACTTTAGTAACGACCCACGATAGCAATACACAGCGGTCTTAAACAAACCTCAACCAAAATCGCCACTCTACAGCCACAAATAACCCCAGGCCAGTCCATTACGGTCTGCTGCGGGGTGACGCAGCTCAAAGAAGAACATTTATGACCATCACTTTATCATTTCCTTGAAGTAACAATCATCATATTAATCATGTTGCGATGCAGACACAGTAGTTCCTCTGCCTTAGCGTCTCAGTCTGATTGTATTTCCATGAAGAAATGATCATAGATGTTCTTCCTTGAGCTGCGTCACCCTGCTGTAGTCCATAATGGACTGGCCCGAGGTCTCCTACAAACTAGCGGCTGCTGGAAGAGAGTAGGTGAGTTGTGTTTAGTCTCTTTGCTAAAGAAATTTTGCAAAGTTAAAAAGATCTTTGGCGGCTAGTACTATGGTTAGGACCCTTTTATGTACTGTTGATAAAGTGAGGTGCTGTTCCGAGCATTATTTATGGCTATAGAGTGGCATTTTGGTTGAAGTTTGTATATGGCTCCTCAGACTGCTGTGTATTGGTATCGTGCGGTCGTTACTAAAGTTGGTATGGTATAACTAGAGAAGCAAGCGGTCTGCAACATTCATCTCTCGAGGGGGTTTCTAACTCAGTGTTACGGTGTGTTTGACCCTAAATTAATTTTACGCCGGAACATCCCTTTAAGTTTGAGAAGTAGTGGATCGGTGCATAGAGCCCATTAGAATGATTAATGTTTAAATGGAAAAGCAAACCAACAAAAAAGCAACCAGCCAATTGAACGTTAAATAATGCACATTTGTGAAATCAAGACAAATGAGAGGTAAAACATAAGCCACAGAATGAAAGAGTTTTAGCAGCACAGCGATAACATCAATATACATCTTTTTTGCCATCATTAACATTAATAAACTTATCTTTGTCATTGCAGGAAGACCCAGCCCTGACACGTTGGGTGTACGCACGTGCCAACCCCTTACCGCACTTCAGGCCCACATTCAAGACATCTCTGATGGGCGCTTTGGGCGGAGTTTTACCTCTCTTTGTCCTCTACTACATTTTCAAGACAGACCGGGTATGAGATGAGATGTGCCAAGTTCTTATAGTTAATTGATTGCAAAATAAAATTATTGTCTCATGATTCAATAAGCTGCAGATTCACATGCATTGGAGTTTTGTGTGTGTGTTGTGAGACTTAAGTCCTAGTGTTCCACAAACAGTGACAGAGGCTAATGTCTTTTGGCCTGCTGGGATTCTTTGAGTTGTATGAGGCAAAACAGACATTTATAACCACTTATCATTGCATGTTAAAACCCACCCTCATTAACAGCAGGCGTTTGAGCTTCATTTCCAATCTCTGCCACTTCCCGTGATGGAATCTGTATCTGCTTTTTTCTGCCAACACCCTGTGCCTCACTAGTGCTCAAGTCTTCATTGACTGTCATAGACGGCAAAATAACAATGTAGGACAAGATTGGGACTTTGTCTTGCAGGAGAACAATTGATTTCTTTTGTGTGTTTATGTGTGTCAGTTCCCTTTATGTTTGAAATAGACTCCCCGCTTGAAATGCTGCCTGCTTTCATTTTTCTCCCTACTGTCATGTGGAGTTAGCCTCAAAATCTGCCTCTGCCTCCCTCACTCTGCAGGGCTCCGTTATCTTAAAATGCTCACATGTTAAAAACACAGTTGAAGAAATTTGTCAGGAACATTAAGAGACTTCAGGTGGTAATTCTTTGACCTTACTGACCTATTTATTTATTGTTTGTTTTCCAGAATAAGAAAGAGAGGATGATCAAGGACGGAACCCTGGATCGCACATTTAGTATGACATATTGAGCTCCGGTGTATTAAAATCTCATTTATGTCCCTGTGAAGTCAGTCTGTGTAATTATCATATATCCAATAAAATTCTATTGTTAAAAACAATCATGCTGTTTTTATTGGTTAAGCACAGGCGAGCAGGGGGTGTGGAAATGCTGTGTGCAAAAATAAATTTTCTGCCAGGGTAGGAAATGTAGTATTATATTGTGATTTACGCCATAAAAATATATCAGTTAAGAAAATACAGACAATGGAACTGGGATGCATGAAACTTTCATGAGACTGCAAGAGATAACTAAAGTCAGCTGGATGACTTGGAACATCTGAAGTATGCTAATGTTGGTGATCAGAAGAGGCAGGTCATGTCAAGCACAGTAACTATGAATTTCTGCCATGTAATCAATAAGTCCTCACCAATAGTTAAAGGGTACAGTGTCGCACGCTGTATGAAAACATTTTCACAGTTCTACCTCAGATTTATTCTTAGCAGGACATCAAAGTTTTTATTTTATAGTGAGTGAATGAGAGGAAAAGCATAAAAAGCACTCTTTCCAAAGTGGCTCATTAGAAACAAATCTGCAGCCTTTTTCCACAGACAACAACATAAACTCCACTAGAAGTGGATTTTAGATTACTAAAATTTTAATGTGAAATTATGGTTTTATTTGCTTTTTTAACTCAAACATTGACTTAAAGCTCTCTACTTTTTGCCGGGCTTCCAGTTTGGATCAAAGTGGCTGCGCAAAGGCTCCCAGCACTGGTAGTAGGTCTTGTCAAGTCTCTGGCATGTTTGCAGACCCCACTTGGTCACAGCCATGCTGAAGGAGGACTCAAACATGAAAGCCTGAGGGAAGGAAATTAAACTAGTTAACTTGACTTTAATCAACATATTAATTAGACTTTTTTCTTTTTTTTTACCATGGTTCCTTCAGCCACCCTCTCAGGTTTGAGATCCGCAGTGCTGCACTTCTCAAAGCAGTCAGCATCAGGTCCGTGTGGGGTCATCATGCTGTGCAGGCTGGCCCCCCCAGGCTGGAAACCCTCCTCTTTGGCTTCATAGTGGCCTTTGATCAGACCCATGAACTCACTCATGCAGTTACCTAAAGTGATAAACAGGTGGAGCTGTAAGGCAACACAGCTGGCTTTACAAGCTGTAGCACTTAATTCCACTAGATGGCGTTATAGATCTGTGGTGAACACACAAAAGGCACTGTGGAAAAGAAAGAGTCACAGAGCAGGTAGACTGTTATCACCTACTGTCATTTACTCAGCCAGTGTGTTGGGTTAATGGACATGTTAGCTTCTAGCTGCCTTGTTTGACTTACATTCGCCTCATTAGAAAAAAAGGGACATTCCTGTTGAGTAAATTCTAGATCTTTCGATGCTCCTCTGAAAATGAGAGCAAGCAACTTTGGTGAAGAGGTGCAGCAAGGCATTCAGGTCTTACGGTGGTAGTATGGTGGACGGAAGGTGTGGTCGGCCACACCCCATCGAGGGGGGAAGATGACAAAGTCAGCGATGGCCACGCCGGGTCGGGTGGATTTGGCAGTCAGCACGGTAAAGATAGACGGATCCTGAGGGGAAAGTAAAATAAGACGTGCACATTTTAATCAGGGTTAAACTTTTAAAGGGCAAAAATCAAAGACAGATAAATAAATCTGTGTCCTTAAACTCTCACCGCATGGTCAAAGGCCACACAGTTGATAACCATGAAGTTCCTCAGGTTGTACTTGTACGGTGTGTAATTCCCATGCCAAGCCACCACATTGAACGGAGAGAAATCCTACATGCAGAGCACAGAATGAAACAAATAAAAAGAGTCTACCCCAGCAACAAACACAAAGGACTTTAAATTGAGCTTTTCACAGCGAACGAGGAATAATGAATAATGTCTTTGTAATCTTAAATTCCAAGAGAGAGTACTTCTTGACATAAAGAGATGAAAAAAAACTGGTAATAATGAAAAGGGTTGATTGTGAAAGAGGGTGTGCTTCTTTCATTCTTTCGTCTCTTTCATTCCCCCTGTTCTTTGTGAAGCGAGGCTCCAGGTATTATGGGGTAATTGGCTTCACAATCAAACTTTCCCAAACTTTGAGCATTTCGACGCTCGTTGCAGCGCAGTTATGGGGGGAGGGAGCAGCTGTAACAGTGGGTGCAGAGATATTTCTTTATCTTGATTGTTAAAACCGCAGCAATTTTATATAGTTTCTCTGTTCTGATAATGTCCCTGCGAAAAAGACATTCAACAGCAGTTCTAAAATCAATATAGTTCATTACAACTCAAGCTACCTCCTGCGTGACCTGTGTGCTCCCTACGCACATGCGCACCAACGCTTCACCACATGAATAGCTTGATACACACATACAATAAAACCTTACACACACATACGTGCATACACAGGCAGGTTCTTAACTAAATCAAGTACATAAACATCCAGGAAAAAAATTTAACTATATAGAATTTACATCAGTTAGCCTACAAAAAGGCCTTTGGTAACCTGGTGCAGGTAAACTCTTGGACAGTCATCCGTGGCAACTCCACAATGTTCGATTAAAATGAAAGGGAAAAGGCAAGAGAGCGAGCACTTGCACACACATGCACACAAAACACAAACATATTGGCCCAGTCAAGCAAATAATAAGTTAATTTGAGCAATTTCAGCGCTCTGCGGGGGAACAAAACAGCAGGACCAGACGGGAGCAGCAGCATCTTCCCTGAGGATGAGGCCCGAGTCCCCCAAACACCTCATTTTCTTGCCTCACCCTTGTAGCGTTGGGAAGGATGGGCACCAGGACAAGGGTCCACAGTGCATCCAGGAGCTTCCACCTCTGACACATAACAGAAGGCAGATGCTCGAAGAGAGGCAGCGACAGCGATCGAAAATGTTTGCTTTGAAAGTGACAGTATCTTGCCTTTGTGTACTTCCCATGATGAATAATAACCGTGGTTTCCACGGTTACAACCCGGTAACCCCCACCCTGATAAAGCTCTCCTCCCACCTCCTCCTGTCTCAGTGAAAAACCTCCTGTCAGACATTATGTGTCGATTCAATTATGCGCCCAACAGGACATTTCAGGAGGGGCAGGATCATTTCTAGTGTGAAATACTGTGAAATTAATGCTTAACTTGGGAAAGGTTTTTCACAAAGCAAAGCTTCACAGGTACACTGTCTGCAACTCCATTACATGCCTTAACTAATTATAAGTGATTAAGGCTCATAAAGGAGGCGAGGCGGAAACCTGCTGAATGGGTAACAGCTAACGCTTCCAGATTAAATCATCAGAGACGGCAGTTCAGTCGGCGTGCAGCAGCAGCTAATGGATCATATGCTTCACTTGGACAGCTAGTCACTGTTGCGGTTGGATGGTGTTTAATGTAGCAAACACTAACCTAAATAGGGTAATAGTGCAAATATGGTATATATCTGGGTCTCTTTCATCGAGTATGTGTGTGTACATTTTGACTGTGCACGGACTGAAATGTTTGAAAAAGCACCTGTTGGCACGCAAAGAGCTTTCCTTGGTACTTGTTGATGACGGTGTAACCTGTGGTCACTGTGCGATCCTCATACCAAGCAACTGGACACAGGAAATCTCTTGGGTTGGCCAAACCATTGGCTCCTGCAAATCATAAATGCGTATAGTTATCCATTTGCTGAATAAAACAATAAACCTTTTAATCAATGATACAGCCAGGCTAATAGCTCTGTGAGGCCGTACTTGAGTTATGAGGAATATCATATTTTCAGATTTTTTGTTAGAGAACAGAGACACTGAGAGGTTGACCTGCAGCTGTCAAGGCAGAATCATATACACACCTATGGGTCCAAGATCAGGAAGCTCATAGTGGGATCCATACACCTCCAGGATATAGCCCCTAGTCTCCCCAAAAACATCCACACTGAAGCGCATCCCTTGCTGGACAAAACACATAAAAAGTGGCGGTGAAAGTAAATTTGTGGCTTTTATAAATAAGGGAACTAATAGACTGATGTGTTCAAAAAGAGATAAAGTGTGGGATTGGAAATCGTGGTCAGGCTTTATTTGTATCCAGAGGTCAGTTTTAGAAAGTACAACAACATGTTTCTCTAAATATGGAAGTGGGACAAGAGTGCAGACACAATGCTGTATTTGGAATGAAAAGTAGGGAGGTAGAAATGTAGACCTCACCTGGATCACACAGATCTCGTTGGGCTCGACCATAATCTTCCCGAACTCTGTGGTGATCAAAATCTCACCCTGCTGGGGGACTACAGAGACAAACAGACCAAAAAAAAAGGGAAAACTTTGAAGAAGAATAAGTATTGAGGATGGGTCTTATCTTTGTTCTTGTGGTAGATGACAGTGAAAACATCAACATCCCTTTTCCTCACCGATCAAAAAGTCCCCGTCTGAGTTGTTGAAGCACCTGAAATGAGAAAAAAAGCGAGCCTCGAAATGATTGTCAAAGTGTAACCAAAGATTTTGTAGCTGTTTGATACGTGAAAAATGCATCTATTTGTCACATAATGGGACACATTTGCACACAAATACACACACCTGTCAACCATGGAAGTGTTGCAGGTGTACATGTGGATGCCGATGCCGTTGCGAGATTTGGCATCCCCAGCCCCGCAGACGGTATGCAGACCCTGCGGCATAGAAATGAACATAATTGTTGAGTGTGAATTAAGGAGCTTTAATTATAAAGTAACGTGGAGAGGAAAAGTCACACTCACAGCAACAAAGTCCACTTTCCTCTCTGTTGATTTGGGGATGGTGAATGGCAGCCATCGCAGCTGTGGGAGAAAGAATCAGAGGCAGTCTCAGTCAGTATGTACAAACAAAAATTAAGATATTGGAGGTTTCAAATACCCTGACAGGATATTGTAAAGCTTTATAAATGCATCTACAAGACTTTAAAATAATTATTGCGAGTGATAATAAGAATTCATTACAGCTCATAGCAATGTCATCACCTCAGGACTGCACACTTTCACTTTATCCCTCATCAGTGCACCATTATTACTACTGTATTACAATGTACTTGTCATTATTGCACTATTACGTCCACATCAGGACTGCCATACTGTCTACATTCACCTTCCTCCTCATATTTATTACACTGTCATACTGTTTTGCTGTTTATTGTTATCTTTATTTTGTAAATTGAGAGTATTTAAGGTAGTCTTTCATTTAGCTCAGTTGATTATTCTTATATTTATACTTTTATAGTTTATTCTTATGCACCGTGGGTCTGAGAGGACTGAAATTTCATCTGTGCTGTATGTTTAACATGTACAACATATTTGACAATAAAGTTGACTTTGATGTTTATTAAGTGTTATAGGTAGATGAAGCAAAGTTTAAGAAGTAAAATTCGGCGTGATTATTGGATGTTTAAGAAGAAATTAAACTGGAAAGAGTTCTCAAAGCAGTTTCTTGACTTGAATCCAAACACATCATGGTCTGGAAATTTCTCAGCTCCTCCGCACCTGGTTTGGATCGGGCTCCACCTCGTTCCAGTCCTCTGTCAGGTTCCCACACGGCTCTGGGGTAAACGGCTTGTGTTTGACAGACGGCAAGATGCGGTAAAACCAGCTGGAAGAACAAAACAAAGTGAAGTTTGTATTTAAATTTGTGTTAAAATGATAAGGAGGCTGATTAGAAAGACAAATACCTTCTTTTATTGGCTGGTCGGGGGCAGGTGAAGGCAGAGCCGGAAAGCTGCTCTGCATAGAGGCCGTAGGGACAGACCTGAGGATTGTTCTGAGGGGACACAGTTCAGCATGTGTGTAAATTCGTGATGGAGATACATAAACCATCTTGGAATCACATGGTCATGGAAATGTCACAGCTCTTAACTCCTGTGGTGTGACATCAAGTATTCATGAGATTCATTTAAGCGAGCAAAAAGTAGTGAAATTAGTGAATTATTTGAATAAATCAAAGCCAGAGTAGCAAAAGTGAAAGTGTGTGTCCTAGTATGTGTGTCACCTGTCCCTCAGGTAAGGATCCAGGACAGCGAGGGTCTTCAGAGGAGAATTCATTCCCAAACCCGCTCATGTACTGCAACAAAAGAGCAGAAATTCAACTCTCCAGTTGAGCAAAGTTAAAGTAAAAAACAACAAATACACATGTAAACACCATGCGGCTTCATTGTAATGCAGGATAAATGTGTTCACGCTGGTTATAATTAAATCTGAAGGCTTGTCATTAAGCCTTGTCTTTTTGTTAATTGTTATCACATTGATTCACATTAGATCCATGATAAAACAAACTGCAGTTATGCCAAATTTCCCCCCTTGCAGTCATCTATTATTTTTGTGTTACAGAGACAGACTAATTACTCAAACATCCTCCACGGTGCTTTTTGATCAATATTCCAACAAGATTATTACTCTGTCCTTCCACACAAACCTAAATCAGCTGCAGTATCACTCCCAAAAATGTACTTGGCACGATGTAAAGAAAACTTGCTGACTCACTGTTAGTCTGTAAAAAGTGCACGCACAAGCATCGATCGTTTCCATATGTGCGTAAAACATTCGCGGCTGTAGTTTTCAAGGAATAGAGTACAAGTTGGGGTTTTCTGCAGGTTGACACAGTGGCAAAGCAGGTAAAAGACGCAAACATGTTTCCCAAAACAAAACACCGCGTGAAATGTCATTTATAGCGAGTCATTTTGTCACATGTATTGTTAAAGCACTTTTGAGTTAAAACCTCTGACAGGGAACCGACATAAATCCACGCGTACTGCCTACATCATACTTTATTGAGAATGCAATCTCATGCTGTCGAGCAAAAACAATGCTTTTGTCGAGAAATAAAAGGTTTTATGACAAAAAATAGGTTAAACAGAGAACCATTAACGGGCTAAATGGGACGCCAAAATGTAGGATACTTTCATTTTTTAAATATTATTGCACAAACACGTGAATAAATAAAACTAGGCTTTTTTTGATGAACTATTTGGACCCTGTGAGGCTGTTTCGAGTGTCAGACAACATCTGGGCAGCTGCTGAATGCTGCGTTCTGATTGGTCGGAGGCCACACCGCCCTTCATTCAGTCACACAGCTTCGGTTTTAGTAAATGATGTTGGATTAACTTTGCGCACTTCTCATGAAGGATTTAAATGATTCTGTGTGTAATCTGCTGTTACAGAGTTTTGCACATTGATGCAAACTTCGCAGCTGCAATAATCTGAAACTTGAGGGGCAACAAAGCTTTGTTATAATAGAGATGATAATAGAAGTTTAACGCTTCCTTACCTTGAGTCCAGCCATGGCGCAGTCTGCTAAAGTGTCTTCGCTCTGTTAAAAGTGTCCCAGTTGTTACAAATTAACTCGCAGTTATCCCTGTCTGACTTTTAACGCATCCCTCCTCAGTGAAAATTCTCCACAGGGCTCATGCACGCCGTTATATGAAGTGAGTGGGAGAGTGGGCAGGATCTGTACTCTTTCTCAATCTGGTTTTAATTAGGCCTTGACTGGCTCCCTGACGTAACAGCGGCAGGGTCTCATGTTGAGGGGACAGGAGGGGTCAGGTGGCCAAAATGAACGCAAACAGGGACCAGTGTCAAAGCCAAAACAAACAAGGCCGAAGACTACATTTTCAAAGTTTTGCATGAAACAGCAGGGAACAAAAAGTACATTTGAAACAAAGTCTAAGGGGGAGAAAGAAGGTGTTGCTTTACAAAATCTATGATCCAAACAAAACTTTTGAATTTTTTTATAAGTTAATGAGAAAATATGATTCTGTAACACTTTAACATCATTGTACACTTAATATAGTAACATATATTAATATGAAAGTCAAAGACACTTTGTGCAGCAGACACAATAAGTCTGATAAAGCACTATCATCATGCATTGTAAATTCGAGTGACCTTATGTGAAACTGCTTGTGCAAACAATTGTGCCGTGCACATCCTCACGTCCTACAAAACAAACGTGTAAAAAAGCAGTTGTCAATTTTTTTTCATGTTTGTTTTGCAGACAACATATAGTATTTACAGGGGTAGAATGTGACAAATTATATTTACTCAGGTTATTGTAAATGAGTAGCTTTTTGTGCACTTGTTCTTTTTAAAATCAGTAATTTTACCAAGACTTCCTGTGAAGGGTTTTTGTTGGCCTATTATGGCTGTATGTTGCTTGTGAAACATGTTTAAGATGGATTTTGAACTAACAAATGAAATAAAAGGAAAATAGATTGAGACATGCTATGGTGTCAGAATATGACATCCTTACACCAGAAGAAGTATTACTCTCAATCAAAACAGAGTACTTACTAAAACATCAAAGAATATTCAGCCAATATCTGAGCTCAAAGTGCTATTAATCGGTCTGATTAAGTAGCCTGACCTATTAATCTATTTCTATACAGAACCCTGCAAAATTTTTGATGTGATACATATGTGATACATATGACTGTGTGAAAAAACTCCACTATCACAAGTTCAAAAAAACCTAAGTACATATAACAAAGGTTATCTGTGCTGTATCAGTATCAGTATAACAGTATTGTTTGAAGAAATTATAACTTTGCTACATTTAACAGAGCAAGGCATAAAAAAAATATTTCTATATTAACTTGAAAGTTCTGTCTGTGCCAGGAATAATCACTATATTTTTATTTTTTGTTCCATGTACATCGTTATATTGATGAGGCCCCCCAACGTTATACTAAAGCTGGCTGGGAGGCTCTGTTTGTCTCAATCTGTGCTAAAATAAAAGGAGGTTCTTCGGTCTCTATGAACAGCCTGTCATGACTCAGGTGTGCAGAGGGGCTATCTATGAAGCGCAATACTAACAATCCTTTGCTTGTTGCTAAATGTAGTCCTCACACGAGAGCACCATATTACTTTATTTTATTCTACAAGATTAGTTTAAGTTGAATGGTGCTCTTGGCTCACTGCATGGACGGTGCCAGTTGATTGTTCAGTGCCAGAGCTAAAGCATTCAACCAGCATAACATCTGTAAACAGATGTATCTGTATGATCTGTCATTATCTGATGAAGCAGAGTAAAACATAAAGATTCCTCATCATGTAAAGTGATTGGACAAATTGGCCGAGCTTACTTCAGAGGTCCAAACACATAAGCATATAGCATGATCAGGCATTAGTCGAATAATAATAATAATAATAATAATATCATCTTGCATTTGTATAGCGCCTTTCAAGATACCAGAATAGTCTGATTCAAATAGAGCCCAAAATGTTTGTTCACTACTAAGTATGCATGTTGCAGCAGCAGTGAGGAAAATCTTCCTCTGACTTCTTTCTAAAGCATTTATTGGTAGACAGCCATCTGCAAAGAAGTAGTTTAAGGAGATGTTCGTAATTTTGTCACGCTTAACATATGCTGAGTAAGTTTGATACTCCTGTACAGCTTCATAATTAATTGATTTCCCTTAAAACCAGTGAAATGCTGGGTTGACCTCTGCATGCTGCACTGAGCAATTCAATCATTCATGGACAAAAGCAAAAGGCCTCCAAAAGGCCTATACATTACTTTACGCCAAATTTATTCAGTTCATTTCTTGAAATAGATGCTCAAACGAGGGGTACCTAATGTCCCCCATGCAGCATGTATCCAAAAGAATCAATTTCGCCTCTCTCATGCTTGCCTCGCTTCCCCTCTTGTCTATTTCTTTTCTTTTTGGGAGGTGTTGGGGAAGGGTAAATGATGGCAATTCTCATAGCGAGGCGCAAATAAACTCGCCGCGGCAGAAGTAACTGTTCTCCGGTGAGGCGTGCAGTCAGGCCTGGGCCCCCCGCTGGCAGCCAGTCAGGGTGCTGTGCCGAAGACGAGAAAGCCCAATGGCAGGAAAATACCACGTCCCAGTCTCCGGAAATTGATCTGCTCCTTGCATGGAGAAAGAAAATGAGCGATTTTAATTTCATCCCCGAGTCTGATGATAGAATTCTAGAGTATTTGGGCCCAATCCGGATGGTGCCTGTGTGTGTGTTTTAAGAGAAGCAGGAATAGCTGGAGACGGCATTGAGGAGGCTGTTGTTGCCTACTGACAGTTATATCTATGCATGCGTAAGTGGGCCATAAATGCTTTGTTATTAGATGCCTGCTGAACTCAATGGTTTGATGGTAAATGGTACACTCACCTGGCACAGTCTACCCCTGTATGTATAAACAAACCAATCTCTCCCTACCTCCCTCCCTCTCACACATACAGGTATAAGCCTATTCTGGGATTCGAAATCTTTGCCTTTTCATCGCACATGTTTTAAAACCTACCTACAGTGCGTGTCCCATTTTACTTTGAAACCATTTAAATGGCCGCTTCACCTTCAAATTGCGCTCAAATGGAATCTATTTTTTGTTGCAGCTAACCAATGAAGAGGTTTTTTGGGAGTTGTTATTTGTAGATTTCTTTAAATGTTTCTCTCACGACTTCTGCCTATAATACAGATGTTAAGCGACTAATTCTGCCATCTAGAAACATACATTTAAATTCCAATTGACTGACTGGTCAGAAAATATGGAAACTCAGAAAACAGTCAAAATCAAGCACAATTCAACATGAGAGCTTACAGGTGAGCACGGTCAAACTGGTGAACATGGCTAAAGATAACAAAGCTATACTAAGGCTATGCCTGTGCTGGTTATGCATCGCGCTGAATGACTCAATCTGAGCTACATCCTGGCTGGTTAATGATGGGTGGGCTGCAGCATATGACCACCATTTCAGAGCTAGCTATAAAGAAATTTATAACAAGTTCTCGGCTGAGTTGCACGGATGATGATGTTAAACCGTTCAGTGGACCAAATGTCCACGTCAACACCCAAACAAGATCGACATCAGTGGAACAGCATGTAGAAATTAGAATGTTTAGCAACATCTAAGTCAAAATCTTTACTAAAAGGCTACTTTGCTCACATCAAACATTAGCCAGCTAACGGAAATTATGTTTTACAGGTGAGAAGCTTGATTTTTTTCGCCTCATTGTCACCGTAGACATCTGGTTGTCAACGGTGTTGCTCTAAATTTATAGGATTAACAGCTAAAAGAGTTGTCAATGGTTTTGACTGATTAGGACCATGTATCCAACATAACTGGGTGATTATCGAGAAAGCAGAGTAATAACCAAAGAGTAAAGTTCTTCAACATTTCTAAACCACCAGAGCGCAGACCTTCCTTTTCTCAGCGAAGATACTCTGAAACGCGTGCAACAGACAATGCTCAAAGTATCATTAAAAGTCAGAGCGCCTTCTACCAGACAAACTACATGATGACACTCCTTTAAAAACACCTGTTTTCTACTTTATATGTACTGTAGACGCGAGTACATATTGAAAAACATACATTTGGAAGTGATACTTATGTGATAGGCCACTATCATCTTGTTTTTTGGGGGTAGTAAATGTAGAATTATCTGTGATCAAATCATTATCCAGCTTTCATCTGTCTCTATAGCTGTTACAAAGCCATGAATAATTACAGTACACTGAGAACAAGTCTTATTTTAATGGTCTTGAATTCATTCAGGGATCTTAACGTGATGAACTTCTCTGAAAACATATCCAGAGTATAAGCGAATGAGCTTAAGATTGAGCCGTTTCTACCAATATGTTGTATTTACTTCATTCACACAGGTAGTTATATAAAAATCAAGTGTACTTTTGATTAAATTAATCAGGCAGTGGCAAGTAGCAACAACTAATTAGTGTGTGCTTACACACTTTCCTGCTCTCGCTTCTCCACAGTAATGAGATTCATTCGTCTTCTCTTTATTTGTCTTTCTGGGGGGAGGTGTGTGTGTGTGTGTGTGTGTGTGTGGAGGGGGGTGTTAGATACTCGTTCCGACACAAAGCAAAGCAAATTTAATGCGGTATAGATAAGTGTGTTGGAATCTCCTCAAAACATGAAATTGAGTCTTTTGTTAGCTTGCAGATGTGACACTAAATTCAACCAAACAATCATCCCAAAGCACACAAGTATTTCAAAAAATGTTGTCGTGAGCTGTTTGGTCTAATTGGCTTCATCTTTTAATTCTCTACAGTCAGTACAACTGCTTGAAATTGCTCAATTTGTCAAGACAAAACCCTTGAAACTTAACTTTGTGAAGGACACAAGGTGCATCTGACATCTGAGGCCTCATCTTGTGTATCACTGGTGGCTAACTGCTGTATTTGGATGTCACTTCTAACAAGAGATAGCTTGGATTCCTTGTATTTTGTAATTACAGCCCTGTTACACACCATTGCAGCTTAATGTTAAATGACTCCTGACATGAGCCGCACACACACGTTTGACAGCTCCATTTACCGCTGATTAGATTTGCAAGGACATGTAGTATACCCTCTCTGTCTCTCCCTGAGTAGGTTGAGTATCTCCTGAATCCTATCCATCGCGCTAATGTTATGCAAATGGTTTAATATGAAGATAAAAGAGTGTTGCAGTGTGTGGCG